ACGGGAGCATATAGAGTCATAGTTCTTCAGTCCTTAATTATTAACCTTTGAAACACTCATCTTTCGTCTTTACTTTCTTCATTCCAAAAAAATCTCAAAAGCAACTCCAGACCGCTTCATAGAAATGTTTTAATTGAAAAACGTCTTTGCAGTGTTCAGATAGCGAGTTGCAAAATGTGGCAAGAATAGATAACACTTTCCATTTTTGACAAAATTCTTAAAGCAATTCTTTACTATGTGCAGCTCATAATGTGCATGGGAGTCACATTAAAGAAAGATTTTTGTCTATCTTTGAGTGGGATTGTTTGTCTCATGGAAAACTAATTTCTTACTGTTACTATAAAGGTATAAGTGATTAAAAAATGTAAGTGCATCTGTGCAAGTAAGCACAGTATGGTGCGCCTTCTTACATGATGCTACACGGTGGAATTTTATATTGTTTACTTCTTCTCTCCTTCTTAGGGCTTGTTAAAATTACTAGAAGGCACAATAGTAAACGTTCCAGAAAAGAATTCTCGTAAACTACGTGGAGAAACAGTACAGGTTGACACAACGAACATCCTCTTTGTAGCTTCTGGTGCTTTTAATGGTCTTGACAGAATTATCAGCAGGAGGAAAAATGAAAAAGTGAGTGCATCAGGCTGTATTTGAACTGAAATATGACTATTTTAATTACTACTCACGGTACTCACTCCTAAAGGTCTTGCTATATTTGTAAACCCACTAAGATTGTTTGTAGAGCAGTGGTTTTCCATCTGTTACCTGGGAACCTGAGGTCAAGCCTAAGAAAGATAGCAAAGAACAAGCCTATTGTTAGTAGGCTTAAGTAGCTTGCAGTGGTCTCTGCTTCCACAGAGAAATTTTTAGCATATGCAAATAGGAAAAAAATAGGGGGGGGGGAAGATTGAAAGCTGTTGGTAGGGGACTTGCTGTCCATACTTACATGGTAAACTTTTTACGTTATTGTCATGTCCTGTGTTTCTTAAAAACAGAATATGTGAAACAGTTCTAGCAATTATAATAGGATTTCTTTTAGTTGGAGTGTACCACGTATGAAACTGGGAAAACCGTTGGATATCAGCAGAAAAAAACTTTTACTGTTGATACTCAGATAGTTTGAGCAAATGGTGCTAAAAGCTATCATCTTCTTAAAATACCTGGTCATGCAGTTCACTGTTTCGTATATTAATGTCTGGAGACCGAGTTCTTCTGGCCGTAGCTTTCTGACGAAATGTGCACCCCGCTTCTTAACAGAGGAGTGACTGAAATCCAAATTACTGTTTATGATAACTCATGTAGCTTTTCATGTAAGCATTGTTGCATTTGCTTCACTTCTGAAGAGCCCTTTTAGTGTCACTGGTATTTGTAAACTTATCAGAACACGTTACTAACTTTTTTTATTTTAAGAAAAACTTGCTCTTAGGATGATGTATTAATACTTTACTGAGGGAACTAAATGTTATAAGGAACTGATTGTGTGCAAGGGGTCTAATTTCACTATAAGTAATTTCTTGAGCTTGAATTAATATGTAATGACATAATCGGTCAGTCCAGGTTTTTTAATGCACATGGAACGTGATTTAGTTACATAAAGAAAACTTAACTGTTACAGTTCTGTAAGCATAACATGTTTGTTTTGCAGTATCTAGGATTTGGGACACCATCTAATATGGGAAAAGGCAGAAGGGCTGCAGCAGCAGCTGATCTTGCTAATATAAGTGGAGAGTCTGATCCACATGAGGATATTGAAGAAAAGGATCGCTTGCTGCGTCATGTGGAAGCCAGAGATCTCATTGAGTTTGGCATGATTCCTGAGTTTGTGGGACGTTTGCCCGTTGTGGTTCCTCTTCACAGCCTAGATGAGAAAACTCTTGTACGGATTCTTACTGAGCCACGAAATGCTGTGGTTCCTCAATACCAGGCACTTTTCAGCATGGATAAGGTTTGAATTTTTATTTGATGACTCTTCAATATTCTTGTTTATAAATACAGTGTTCAAGCGATCTAAAATATCAGTTGAAATCACTTCTTCCCCCCGCACGTGCACCTCCCCACTCTGGGGGAAAAAAGTAAGCTAATTCATTAAAACCTGACCGGTTTAGATTGGATAACTGTCCTTGTGGGGCAAGTAATCTGGAAGTTGTTGAGCTGCTCTTCATGTTAACATTCAAGTGAATATCTGTGACCTTGCCTAATAGGCATCGAGAGCCTTCATGTACTGTAGAGGCACTTACAGTAGTTGTAGGTAAAGGGACATAGTCAATACGAGTAACCTTAGTCAAAAAAAAAGTGTAACTGAAGCTTTATGTCTAGCTTAAATGTTCTGGTCTGTAACAAGTAAATCGCTACTGTTTGTTATTTTCAGTAACGCTTGCACTGTCACACTCAACACACTGTTGAGTTATAAATGAAATAATTAACTAAACTTACCATTTTTCTTTATGTAGTGCGAATTAAATGTAACTGAAGATGCATTGAAGGCCATAGCCAGACTGGCCCTGGACAGAAAAACTGGTGCGAGAGGTCTTCGATCTATAATGGTGAGTACATTAAGTCTCATATTGAGTAAATGAGGCTACCTACGTTCGTGTGTATGGACCTAATCGTGACAATTTTCAGTCAAAACCTCACTTAGTTCTGGGTCTTATATGGGTACAGTAAGTCTCTTTCTAAAACTTGGGGGTATTCAGAGTTCTTCCACGAAAACTCTCCAGCTCTGAAAATCACCTGCTAACCATGTTGTTGTGTAGAAGAGGGCATACAGAAATATTTTTTCCCTCTATTTTCTTGTAGGAAAAGCTGTTGCTGGAGCCCATGTTTGAAGTGCCCAATTCTGACATTGTATGTGTGGAAGTTGACAAAGATGTTGTAGAAGGCAAAAAAGAGCCAGGATACATTAGGTAAAACCATAACGGAAGTATCAGAACAGACGAGTAATACAGCTAGACAGGTATTCTGATGTTTGCTATAGGAACAAGCGTATAAACACAAAGCCATGCACACAACCTAAAAAGGATCCATTTCTCTGTATACAGTACACGGCTGAATTAGTGCCTATTCTGTCCTAGAGACTTTGGGTTTGTATTGCTTTAGTTTTTAAGCAGAAATTTAAAAATAAACTTATATATGAAGTTACTTTAAGCCTTTTGTGTGTGTGTGTGTGTATACCTGTAGAAATAGAAGTAAATTATAAGCATCTTAAGTTAACAGTAAAAATCGGAAGTTTAATTATGACTGTACTGAAATTTCTGAAACAGAACTTTTTCCTTTCCCCTTCCACTTTCTACCACTGAGGTGGTGGGCTTTTTTTAGTGCAAGCTCCAGGCTGCTGCTGTTTTCTTCTCTATTGCTCTTGTAGCAGTGGAGAGCCACAAAGGCACATCTGTTGGTTTGCTGAACTCTTGTTAAAATAATCAATTTAATGTTGTAAAGTTTGTATTACGGTAATGATGTGGTGGAACACTGAAAGCACTGGACAAATCTGGATTTAAAAAAAAATCATAACTTTAGTGAACAAAGGATGGAGTCGGGAGGGGATGGGTCAGGTCAAAAACACAGGCCTGAAACTTGGAAACTCTGGCGTGGTTTCCACCTCTGACAGCTTTTTTGAGTACGTGCTTTGTATTGCTCTGTGTCTGTGCCTGAAGCTTGGCTCAGCACACCTAGTGTCTCAGAGGGAGTGGTTGGAGTGGACAGCATTACTCTTACAGCGATGGTTGCTTTAGGTGATTTTGTAGAGCACCAGCAGCCACGTTTGCTGAAAATTTAAAATGTACTAATTAAATCAAACAACTTTACTGAAAATCAAAAGGCTATTGAATTCAGTAACGAGACTGCATACTGGTGGTAGCGTGAATCTGCACAGCACCGTTTTCAGATCGGAAGGTTGTTTAGCAGATGGATGCTTGTCAGAACATTTGTCACTGGGGCACTTTGCAGGTGGTGTGTTTGCCAGAAGCTATGGAAACTGTCTCCGTTCTTTTCCTCAATTTCTGAAGTATCTGATCAGTTCGTTTTAATTATAGGGCTCCCACTAAAGATTCATCTGAGGAAGAATATGACTCTGGCGTTGAGGAAGAAGGCTGGCCTCGACAGGCGGATGCTGCGAACCATTAAATACTGTCAGAATGCTCGCCCGCATAAAGCGCGCTTGGTTATTTCCTTACGATTGCCTCTGGCTTCAGTCTGATACTAAAGGCATTGGATCTATCTCGGCTACGATACGTGATGAGGAACTTTATTAGATAAATCAGATCGTGTATTTTATTGCAACATCACATTGATTTATTTGATGGACGTTGTGTGGACTTGGATGGCATAATGTTCACATATGAATTGTATATTACACTTGTACGATTAAAATGTATAGCAAATATAGCAGCACCTGGATTGCTCTTCCTGGAAATCAAAACAGCAATGCAGGTGCTGCAGATAGTTAGATTTTACAATAATGTTACTCTACAAATGGGAAATCAAGATTAATAATTAGTAGAGGGTGAATAAACTATTAGCTCCTCATACGACTCGCAGGGGGTTACGTTTGGGTCAGTGTTAGATTTCTGCTGGTGTTTGAAACCCGATGGGTGCTGGAGTGACTTGTTACATTGGTGGGGGAGGAAGCCCTGCAACAGGCTCTTGGGAAAACTGGGACACGCTTTGTGACGCTGCTGGGAGACTTTGCTAGAATGTGACACTAGTTTGTTACAGTAATTTGAACGCAATATCAAATAATACCCTTTTCTTCACCTCTCCAATAGGAGTAAGTTTCGGTCACCTTGAATACTGTGAAAGAAGGTGAAGTCAGTAATTCGCTAACTGTCCCAGAAGGGTAAACAAGATTTCTAGGAAGCGGTAAGCCATCGGAATTTGGACGAGAAGTCGACATAAATTTTTAAATATTAATGTTCTAATATAGTACATTTTGTTTAACGTATTGGAACTATCATGCATCAATTTTTTGGTGCCAGGTATTTGCCCAACCTATCTTATAATGTTAAGAGATGAAAGAAGTAAATGTATAATATTTTTGATGTAATCGGTAGCGATTGTTCACATGAGACAGTGCTTTTTAAGTTATACGCTCAAATGCTAGTATTGCATCTTGTGGTTTTGTCTTTGACTCTTAGTCCCGCAGCAGAGCAATCCTCCCTCTTCTGTTCGAACCAAAACCAACTCAATCCTTTAGGAAAGTCTTTGTAAAAAACACTAAAGGACCTGTATGTTTTTGATTTGTTTCGGGAATTAAAATTGTTGCTTACAACTTCGTTTTGTCCTTCGGTGATACGTGGACTTAAGTTTTACTGACCCCTTTTTCTAAAATGTTAATTCAAGCTATTTAAATAAAACTTTCATCGTTCTTTTCAGTTTAGTGGATGTTTTAGGACAGGAAAGGATACTGCAGATGCGTTGACCCTCTTTTTGTTGTTAACTTTTGTCAGGTAATTTTATGTAATACTTGTGTTCTTACCTAGAAGCAGCGTGATGTGCAGCTGTAGCCAGATGCAGCAGACACTTCCCTTAGGATTTCAGGTTTTTTCAGGTTAAATGACCCACTAATGGTTCAGAAAAAGCTGTGTTCAGAGTTGAGGATACTCCCGTTTCCCTTAAAACGGGACTGTGTGGTGAACTATCTGTAACTGCATCCTCGCTTTCCCTTTTGTAGAGTGAAAAAATATAACCGCTTTTACTTCTGAATCCTTTAATTCAAATCCTTTTTTAAATGGACTGAAAGAACGGCGTTTTAGGCGAAACTGTTCAACAACTTAGTTTTGAAAGTTGTTTGGAATTATATAACCAAGAACTGTTTTTAAGGAAACAAAATGCTGTGTAACTACAGTTTGTACTTCACCTCTGGCCTTTGAATAAAACAAAGCGAATATTCAAGCAGCGGAGAGTTGTCATCCCTGACGTCATCCCCAGTAATTCTGAATTTTATGGGTAGTTGGAGTTTCTGAGGCTTTTTTTTTTATTTTTAAAGTGGATCTATATGAAGGAGAAAAGGCGCTGCGGGGCAGGCGGAGCCCTGCTCGGGGCAGGCA